ATGAGAGGAGGAAGAGAGAAAGAGTCAGTCTGTGATGAGCTGAAACGAGGCTATGACGTCAAAGGAAGTGAAGTGTACAGAAACAACGGGGCAGAGGGGAGGGCGTTGATTTCCTGTGGATAAGTCTTTGAGGTTTTTCTTTTCTTTTCGTTTCTTCTCCCTTTACTACTTCCACTCCTATTTATTCATTATCTTCATCCAGCTTTTCTTTTCTATTTCTCTCTATCACTTCTTCTTCTTCTTCTTCTTCTTCTTCTTCTTCTTCTTCTTCTTCTTCTTCTTCTTCTTCTTCTTTTGTCTAACCCACACGTGATCCCTTCCTTGTTCCCCGTTATCCCTACACCCCAATTCCTTCCCTATGAATCAAAAATTGCTGTTTTAGAAGCAATTTTCGCTTTTTTCTATACACCTTTTTTCTTTTTATTATAATTCATTTTTTATACTTGTTCTTTTTCTTCTTCCCTTATTAATATTAGCAGTAGTAGTAGAAGTAGTAGTGGTAGTAGTAGTGGTACTAGTGTTATTAGTCGTAGTAGCAGTTGTAGTAGTCATTAGTTCATGGTTCATACCAGTAATAACTTAGTATCTCTTATAATAATTAATTATTGTTGGTACTCTTAATGATGAATGCCTAAACACGCACGCACACACAAACATATAGTTCCATTTTATATTTTTAATTTCGCGCATGCGTGTTGTTTGTTTTTAATTTTGCCGACTGCACAGTATAATAGGGTCAGTTGGGCACCGTCTATGAGAAAAAGAGAATCATGATGCAATTCACTCCACCAGAAATTTGGAAAAGGCATTCAGCGCTGCTTGGCATTCATGCCAGAAGCTCCAATACAAACATTTCAGAGTGTTTGGGTGCCAACCTGAGGTATTACTCTGATCGTTCTTATGAGAATAGAACTTCCGAATTTGTTGATGAGGGCCTACATCAAGTGCTATGAGGAGGTAGTGCTACCTTGGGTCAAGAGGGTGGCTGCTGGAAGAAACTATGAAAACTGGGTTATCTTGCTTGTGTGCCACACAAGCAAGAGAACCCAGTCATCGTTGTTAGACAGTTTCTGCGACCACACAACTCCTTACATCTGGTTACCTAACTCCGCAGACTGCAACCTCATTGATTATTATGTGTGGGGCGCAGTTGAGCGAGACCAACAAAACTCCTTGTAACACCAAAGATAAACTGAAGGAAAGGATTATGGCAGCATTCACCAACGTAAACAAGGGTGGCCGTCCAAAAGAGTTGCAGGAGATTCCGAAGTCGTCTGGAGGATGTGGTTGAAGCCAATGGTGATTTTATTGTCATTCTGCGGTATCTAGACGACAATTTATCCATCGCAAACTGTATATCTGTTAAAATGAGACGTTAGTATTATTTTCATGTTTGCGTCAACTCGATGAATGTTATGATACTTGTTTTTAATAACTACAAGTTGTTTTTTTTTAATCTGCTTTGGAGCGTGCAGTCGCAACGCTAAGCTTGAATTTTTTATCCGTTAACAATAACACATTTCTAAAAAAAAAATATTTCGATTCGTATTTAATCTTTCGTCTCCGCTGCTACCTGGATTTACTAAAAACAAAATAATTTCCATGTGAGAGGATGACTGTATGTACAGTTGAAAGTACTAGCAGATTAAAAAAAAGACCTTATACAACTTGTCGTTATTAAAAACAAGGATCATAACTTTCATCGAGTGGTTCGTAGGTTAATGCAATTTTAAAATTTTGTTTGCGAAGAGATTTCGCCATTTTATATCATTAACTTTACTAATCTACTTTTTGTATGAATGATTCATTGTAATATAAATTGAAGTGCACCACACACACACACACACACACACACACACACACACACATATATATATATATATATATATATAGTGAGCACAGGCTATACTTGTGGGCTTTGCTTCGGGAATCACTAGCCTGCTATTTGATTCCCAGTCTTTCAGTAGTGTATTCTCTTTTACAATAAACCCCTCTTCCTTTATCTACGCGTGTGTTGCTGTTCCTTCACTCGAGTACCACATTTGTATGTTTGTAACCTCTTAAAGGATACAACAAATTGTAAATATATCTAAAATATTGTAAATAAACAGAACAATCAGCTTGTAAACTTTCATTAACTAAAACGTAAGACATTTTATTTTATGCCAAAATTAATCATGGGTAAATGTATATGTCTCACCCCGTATATGCCCCACCTGGTAAATTTATATTATCTAAGGTTGGTTATATGAGAAAAAGAGTATTTAATAAGCTGAAGGAAATCGCAATTAAAATGATTCCATCAAATTCACCCACACTGGCAAAAGATGAATATTTAATTTGGCCAATTTTTTTTCAGTGAAAACCGGTTTTCAATTGTATCTTCCGTTTCCGGTTATCAAAATTAGAGCGCTGGGAATTTTTCTCCACACCTCATAATAATAATGAAAAGAATATTCTGACCATCATAAACACTCAAGTTTTGTCTTATTCTCAGGTTTAAAGGAAAGAAATATTTACGTTAGAATTTATTCCAGTTATACTTAGTTATTCTCATTGCTTCTCAATTAAGGGCAGTTGTTAACAAACAATTGTCAAATTATTGTAGATTGACTTCGAATCTTACTTATGGTATCATTTTAACATCTAAAGGCAAGTTTATAGTCTGTCTGTCTCTCTCTCTCTCATACATACGCAATCATATATACACATATGCACAAAGATGTACAATGTTGTGTTCATACAACAAAAGAACCATACAATGTTAATAATGAACAGATAGTTAAAAGCGGACAATCTGGCGTCTGGTCAGTGTCGTATGAATTTACTGAAAGGAACCAATCCTAAAATGCACTCAGACAAAAACACACCGAAAGAAATTCTCAACTTAACACCACTTTATGCAGAATTCACACAAGTGACTTACAATTTAAATATAACAATGGCTTTTTCACAGAAAGAAAAGAAGAATTAAAAACTGAGCCACCAATCATGATTTATTGAATTCAGATGAAGTATTTTGGCCATTTGCTTTTCACATCAAAATTCCCTTTGTTTTTTTTCTTGATTCTTTCAAAAATATTATTTTGAATCAAATTTAAATTCACAAGAAATCAGACTCTTGAAAAAATACTTTTGTAAATATATTAAACACTCTTCAAGTTTAATTGGCCAAGCATATATGTGTGTGTGTGCGTGTTGCTTTATTATTTTTAGAAGGAAGATTGACGAGTGCTTCTGCCAGTTTGCTACAGATCCACCTTTGCTGTAGTCAGAGGAGAGTTAATTTTTCTTTCACGTCATCTACAGCGGAAATAAACAAAACAAAACAAAAAAATGAATGACGATGCGAAAGACAGAAAGTAAAAAAAAGCGTAAAAAGAGGAGAGAAAACAAATAGGTAATAAGGGGAAATAAAGATCACATTTAAAAGAAAGAAAGAAAGAAAGAGGACGCAAAAAAGAAAGAATGAAAGATAAAAAGAGAAATAGAGGATGCAAAAGAAAGAAAGAAAGTAGAAGATACAAAAGAAAGAAAAAAGAAAGAAAGAAAGAAAGAAAATAAAAAGAAAGAAAATAGAGGCTGCAAAAAAGAAAGAAAGAATGACTGAAAGATAGAAAATAGAAGATGCAAAAGAAAGAAAGAAGAAAAGAAAGAAAATATTGTTTTCAAAAAAGAATGAAAGAGAGAAATAGAGTCTGCAAAAAAAGAAAGAAGGAAAGAATGAAAGATAGAAAATAGAGGACGTAAAAGAAAGAATAAATAAAAGAAGGAAAGAATGAAAGAAAGAAAGAAACAAACAAAATAGAGGATGCCAAAGAAAGAAAGAAAATAGAGCATGCAAAAGAAAGAATGAAAAATTGAAGAAGCGAAAGAAAAAATGAAATAAAAAAAGATAGAGGAGGCAAAATGGAAAGAATGAAAGACAGAAAGAGAAATAGAGAAATGGAAAAAAGAAAGGAAAAAAGAAAGGAAAAAAGAAAGAAAACTGAGGACGCAAAATAAAGAAAGAAAGAAAGGAAAAAAGAAAGAAAGAAAATTGTGCTGTAAAAAAAGAATGAAGGAAAGGGAGAGATAGAATGAAAGAAAATAGAGGATGAAGAAAGAAAGAAAGAAAGAGAAATAGAGGCTGCAAAAAAAGAAAGAATTAATGAAAGAAAATATAGGAAAAGAAAGAGAAATGGAGCTTCCAAAAGAAAGACAGAAAGAAAGAAAGTGAAATAAGGATGCAAAACAAAGAAATAAAAAAGAAAGAAAGAAAATAGAGGATGAGAAAGAAAGAAAGAAAGAAAGAAAGAAAGAAAATAGAATATGCAAAAGAAAGGAAGAAAGAGAAATGGAGGCTGCAAAAAGAAAGAAACAAAGAATGAATGAAAGATATAAAATAGAAGAGCAAAAGAAAGAAAGAAAGAAAGAAAGAAAGAAATAGGATCAGAAAGAAAGAAAAAAGAAAGAAAGAAAAAAAGAAAGAAAAATAGAGGATGCAAAGAATAAAGCCGTAAAAATTAAAGAATAGCAAATTCATTTTTCTCAGCAATTCAAATGCCTCAATACTGTTATCTCATAACGAACCAAATTGAATTTCTTCAAAAAATGCAAATCTTGAAAATGTCTCTTTTCCTAAAATAATTTTTTATCCCCCAGATTTGCAGTCTTTTTCTCAATCATTTTCTCTCCTTCTGCATTTTCAATCGCCGATATTTTTTATAAACATTATCCAGAATTTTATCGATAGGTTAAAATTCAGCATTTTCTCTACAAGGTCAGCGACAGATAATATTGATTGATTAAAATTAATTCAAAAAATCAATAACAGATTGTTTACCGCAGCTTCGTGTGAAAGTTTCTCAGGGCTGAAAGATAAGTTCCAGCCGTAGGCGTTACTTTTATCACGATGAAGAAATTAAGAAAAAATCATTTATATTTTCCAAGTAAATGAATCTGAATCCGAGGGCCTAACATCACTTGGATGTTTTAGAGAAATTTGACCAAAATGTTACATGGCTATCAAAACAGTATAGACGCTATATATATATATATATATATATATATATATATATATAATAAAATAATTTTCCACTAATATTATCTATATATATATATATATATATATATATATATATATATATATATATATATATATTGATATCACCATGGGATCTTTAAACTCTGCAGAGTTTTCTGACCTTATCGGTCTATTTATACTATACAACCTAACCGCACACTGTAAATTAGACATTAAGGACATCGGGCTATACAGGGATGACGGGCTCATGGTAGTGAGGAGTTCCACAAATTTTAAAATAGATCAAATTAGAAAGATAATATATAATGAATTAGAAAACTAAATTTAAAAACTACAGTCAGTACTAAATTGAAAAGGGTAAACCTCGACGTAACTCTAGACTTAATGAACAACCCATACCTACCTTACAGAAAGCCTAACACTAATCCTTTGTATGTACACCCTAAGTCAAACCACCCTCCATCTATAATTAAGCATACACCCTCATCAATAATAATAAAAAATATTCCAACAACACAGTAATTTTTAAACACAGCTCTACAAAATAGCGGATACAAAAACGCTAACATCAATTATAGAAACAATAGTACGAACCAGAAGAAAAACAGGAAAAGAAAAATCACCTGTTATACCCTTCCATTCAACTAAATGGTTAGTATTAAGTTAGGACATAAATTACTAGCTTTAATTGAAAAATACTTTCCTACTAACAGCAGAACTTTATAGCAAGATCTTTAATAAAAACACCTTAAAATTAAATTACAGTTGCACTGAAAATCTAGAAAGAATCATAAAAAACATAAAATACTGGAAAAACACGCATGCCAAAATAGTATTAATAAAAACCCTAAACTAAAATTAGACAAAAATAATGAAAAATTATGTGATTGTAGAAACCCTGAAAACTCCTCGTTGGAAAATAAATGCTGCATAAAATCTGTGGTATACCAATGCACTATCTCATCCATTGAGAGTCCTAAAACTGAAATGATAAACATAGGTTCTACGAAAAATGAATTTAAAATTAGATGGAGACGACACAAGAGCTCCTTCAATAATATTAGAAATAGAAATCAGATACCCCTATCCAAATATTTTTGTCATTTAAAAGTAATGAATAAAACACCAAAAGTAAAATTGAAAATAATAAATAGAACAAGAACTTGTAAAACCTGGGATGACCCATGCCCTTTATGCCTAGAGGAAAAACTACATATTAAGTTTCTAAATAATGAAAATTTAGCAAACCATAGACATAAGTTAACGGTTTTTTGCCGACATCAACAAATTTTCGCATTAAATAATTAGCATAATTTTTTTAAAATTTCATGGTTTAATAAAAGGTTTAAAAGCTAAACCCAATCATAACAACCCTTTATGAAATCGTCAAAAAACAACTTGTAGTTCAGTGTGACGCATTTATGTACGAATAGCCCTTTTAAGAGAAAAAGATCTTTACACAATGGCGTACAATGGTGCCAATAACTATCTGTCGCTAAGATAGACGATGTTCGTATAGGAATGTCATCATTCGCTTTGAAATGGACACTCCGGCCTTGCCTTGGCTTGGCTCTTTCCGAGGGTGACTGATATGTTGATAGAAATGGTTAACACTTAAGCCCCCTACTGGACTGGTCGCTTCAGCCATTTCCATATTAATTAATGCTACGAATGAATATGATTTTAAAGATGCGTAAACTTCAAGATTAGTTATTCAAAAAAAAATTTCGCTTGAGGATGAAATAGAGGTTTTGGCTCTTGTTTTTCAAACATGAGAACTCTTATGTAGCGAAGGAATCATATTTAAAAAAAATAATTATATATATATATATATATATATATATATATATATATACACGGAGTGTAACAGCAAAATTGTCCAATTTTTAGATTAATCTGATCCAGGTTTATTTTAGAAATGATTGAAGATATCATTTTGGAATTTTCCGAGGTTTTTATAACACTGTTGAATACCACATTGAACAATAAGAATATATAATTACTCTCTAAGCTTAACAGAAGAATCGTGATGAAATCGATCATAAACAAAAATGACATGTTCATCATGAATTAATCATAGTTAAGGAACGGAAGCACATGAAGGATTGAAATTAAGATCAAATATATATTCAAGGAACATTTTCTAAATTGTTCAAGATAGTCTTCATCCTCACCAATCTTTTAAATTTCTTTCTTGGAGTAACAAGTTGCCTCACACATATCATGCAAGATTTCATTTTCAAGTCTTTCTTCATTGATCTTTGGACTGTCATAGCTGAAACTCCTCTCTCTCTCTCTCTCGTGCCATCTTTTTTAATTGATCTTTTTACTTACTCTTTCCTTCTTTCCTACTTTCTTTCTTTTTTTTACTTACTCTTTATTTCTTTTCCTTACTCTTTACTTCTTTCTTTTTTACTTTCTCTTTCCTTCTTTCATTATATTACGTACATTTTTCTTTCGTTCTTTTTTACTTACTCTTTCCTTCTTTCACTCTCTCTTTTTTTCTTTTACTTACACTTTCCTTTTTTCTTTCTTTCAATTACTCTTTTCTTCATTCTTTCTTTTACTTACACTTTCCTTCTTTCTTTTACGTACTCTTTCGTTCTTTCTTTTACTTACACTTTCCTTCTCATTTTTTACTTACTCTTTTCTTGTTTCTTTCTTTCGTTTTCTTTCTTTTTTCTTTCTTTCTTTTAGTTAATCTTTCTTCCTTTCTTTTACTTACTCTTCCCTTTTTTCTTTCTTTTAATTATTCTCGTCTCCTTTCTTCTATTTACTCTTTCCTTCTTTCTTTCTGTCTTTCGTTTACTTACTCTTTCCGTTTTTTTTCTTACACTTTCCCTGTTTCTTTCTCTTACTTATTCTTTTCCTAATTTTTTTTTATTTTTCTTTCTTTCTTTCTTTCTTTCTTTCTTTCTTTCTTTCTTTTACTTACTCTTTTCTTCTTTCTTTCTTTCTTTAATTTGCTCTTTTCTTTCGAGCTTTCTTTACTTTTTCCTTCTTTCTTTTATTTACTCATTCCTTCTTTCGTTTTTCTTTCTTTCGTTTACTCACGCTTTCTTTCTTTCTTTTACTTAATCTTTCCTTCTTTCTTTCTTTCTGTCTTTATTTTAATTACTCAATTCTTCATTCTTCCTTTCTTTCTTTTACCTACTCTTTCCTTCTTACTTTCTTTTACTTATTCTTTCCTTATTTCTTTTGCTTAGCCTTTCCTATTTTTTTCTTCCTTCCTTTTTTTTACTTACTCTTTACTTCTTTCTTTCTTTTACCTACTCTTTCCTTTTTTCTTTCTTTCGCTATGTCTTTCTTTCTTTTACTTACTCTTTCCTTCTTTCTTTTACTTACTTTTGCCTTCTTTCTTTCTTTTTACTTACTATTTACTTCTTTCTGTCTTCTTTTACTTACTCTTTCCTTTCATTCTTTTTTTTTTCCTTTCTTTCTTATTTTTGCTTAAACTTTCCTTCTTCTTTTCGTTTACTTACTCATTCCTTCTTTTTCTCTTTCTCTCTTTCTTTCTTTTACTTACTCTTTCCTTCGTTATTCTACTTACTCTTTCCTTCTTTCTTTTACTTTTTCCTTCTTATTTTCTTTCTTTTATTACTCTTTCCTTCTTTCTCTCCCAGCTATAAATAAGAGCAGGTATTGCCCTTTGGAGATGGAAGTTTCCAGCAGTCAGATCTGACAGTCGGACCGAACATTCTTGCTGTAACACTCTCGTTTGTATTACTGTTTCTGTCACTATATTTGTTTAACTCAATTCCTTTCTTGTGTTTTTATTTCTGACCCTAACAAGGCCACAAACCTTTTTTCTTTCTTCCATTCTTTTAGTTACTTTCTTTCTTTCTTTCTTTCTTTCTTTCTTTTACTCACTCTTTCCTTCTTTCTTTTACTCACTCTTTCCTCCTTTCTTTTACTAACTCTTTCCTCCTTTCTTTCGTTCCTTCTTTTACTTACTCTTTCTTTCGTTCTTTCTTTTAGTCGTTCCTTTCTTTCCTTTTCATTCTTTCTTGTTTCTTTCTTTTACTTCCTCTTTCCTTCTTTCATTCTTTTACTTACTCTTGCCTTCTTTCTTTCTTTCTTTTACTTACTATTTCCTTCTTTCACTTTCGCTTTTCTTCTTCTTTTATTTACTCTTTCCTTGTTTCTTCGTTTAAATTATTCTTTTCTTCTTTCTTTCTTTTACTTACTCTTTCCTTCGTGTTTTCTTTATTCTTTTTTAACTTCTCTCTCTTTCTTTCTTTCTTTTATTTGCTCTTTCCTTCTTTCTTTCTTACTTTCTTTGTTTTACTTACTCTTTACTACTTTTTTCCTTTCTTTGTTTCTTTTACTTACTCTTTCCTTCTTTCTTTCCTACTTTTACTTGTTCTTTCCTTCTTTCTTTCTTTACTTGTTCTTTCTTTGTTTGTTTCTTTTACTTACTCTTTCCTTCTTTCTTTCTTTCTTCCTTTATTTTACTCTTTCTTTCTTTTACTTACTCGTTCCTTCTTTCTTTCTTTCTTCCTTTATTTTACTCTTTCTTTCTTTTACTTACTCGTTCCTTCTTTCTTTTCTTTACTCTTTATTTATACATTTACTTTTTCTGTCTTTCTCCCTTCGTTTCTTTCTTTCTTCCTTTCTTTCTTTGATCATTAAATCCTTTCCATTTCACTTTTAGATTTTCTTCGTCCTTTCTTTTATTAAATTTATACTTTTGTTGTTGTTGTCGTTGCTGTTTTCCTTCGTGTCTCCACCCCCCACCACTGTTCTTCTGCTTCTTTCATTTATTTGTTTCCCTTTCTTTCTCTACACTCATTCATCCTTGCTCGCCATGAGGCATCATTCGCTCAATGTGTTGTGGTTCTGTTCCGAATCCCTACGGCATGTTGCTGACATTATCTCTTTCTCTCTTCACACCTTTCTATCTCTCCCCTACACTTCTCTCTCTCTCTTTCTCTCTCTCCCCACCCTTCTCTCTCTCTTTCTCTCTCTCCCCACCTTTCACTCTCTCTGTCTTTCTCTTATTAAATAGATACTTATCACTGAAACCAACACACAATTTTGCTACTCACTACCACCTCCACTGCCCATGTGTAATCACTGGTTCTCAATCTTACCAGGCCAATGACATTCAAACAACCTTTTTTTGTAAAATTATCATTAACATTACTATCAAGATCATCTCCATTACCATATATAAGAAAATAATTCATTTTAGATTTGTCATAACCTTTCAGGGCGTGAATGTTTATGTCCTTCTACGACTTCTCGTCTTTTCTTGCACTAAGTAACTCTTGTCCATTTATCCCACATTTTTGTGGCCCTCATGTTATCAGACATGTTAAGTAGATCATTCCCCGTTCTCCATCTACTGTTCCTGCCTTTAATATGCCATGTGATTGTTCAATTCTCGAAACCTCCTTTCCTCACTATGGCTCCAAAAATAATTTGTCTCTTTTTTTATTTTTAACAACGAATTATTTGCAATTCTTATTTTTAAAATTTCTGTCCATGGTATTCTCAGGATTTATCAGTAGAACCACGTCTCTGAGATTTCAAGTCTCATCTTCATCTATAAGTAAATTGTCCAACATGCACTTCCATATAGAAGATTAGATATTAAATATCAGTCTCGCACACATTACTCGGGCCATTTTAATAAATGTATTAATACTTAAGTCACTGCACATTGTCCGAAAATCACATGTTTCACTGTATCGTCATGCTTTCGGATTTTGCACTTCACCCACTTCTTCATTTTGACGTCCCCGATGCGTAATTGGTGATTTGGGATGTGTCCCTTTTACTGACAACCATTCATTCTGCCTTCTTACAGTTAAGGTTTTTGTTCCTTTCTTAGTGTGCTCTCCTACATTAACTTATGTAAACTTTTAGTTTTCTTTCTGAATCTGCCATCAATACCGTGTCACCCGCGTGGAGCGTAATTTATTTAACAACATGTTATGGGTAAATTATTATTATTATTATTATTTGCATCCTGTTAGCTATTCTAGTGGCTTTTTTTAAGCATTTCACCCCAAGCAAGGCGGGAGGGCACGTAATGAGTTGAGGGTGGTTTAAGGAAAGGATATAGAAAAGGACGCTCAGGCCTTCTATAGGATATATACGTTCGAATTTCGAATCAAACCCTTTATTTCGTCACCTGAAGAAAGTCGTGGTGTAGAATTGCCGAAACGTCTTGAATATGACAGTAAAGATGAGGACAATAGTCTGAACAATGTAAATAGTGTAAATAGTTATAATATTTCATCTTAGAAATATAGGCAGAAACTGAAGATGGCCGAAACGTACAACGATCGAAACGTCGTGAATGTGACAGTAAAGATGAGGAAATAATCCGAACAATGTAATTAGTGTAAATAGTTATAATACTTCATCTTAGGAATATAGACAGAAACTGAAGATGGCCGGAGCGTACAACGACCGAAACGTCGTGAATGTGACAGTAAAGATGAGGAAAATAGTCCGAACAATGTAAATAGTGTAAATAGTTATAATATTTCATTTTAGGAATATAGACAGAAACTGAAGATGGCCGGAACGTACAACGGCCGAAACGTCGTGAATGTGAAGGTAAAAGAAGAGGAAAACAGTCCGAACAATGTAAATTGTGTGAAGAGTTATAATACTTCATCTTAAAAATATAGACAGAAACTGACGATGGCCGGAGCGTACAACGGCCGAAACGTCGTGAATGTGACAGTAAAGATGAGGAAACAGTCCGAACAATGCAAATAGTGTAAATAGTTACAATGCCTCATCTCAGAAATATAGGCAGAAAAGAATTGAGATTTACTGAGCTAGTTTCCTTGCAGGGTCTTTAATACAGTGAATGTGAAATTCGCCAAGATTCTAACCAATATCCTCCGTATAATCCGGTTTGGTTTTAAACAGCTCAGCCACGAGGGACTTTACAGGGAAACAAGCCTCAATTACCCTAATGAAGAAAAGCACATCTGTCAAATCGCACATCTGCTAGCTTTATATTTGTATCCGAAACATAAACAAAGTAATTCCTAAGGAATTAATCGATTTTTAATTCGACATCATTTCTCTTGAGCATAAATTTATTAGAGGATAAACATGTTTGAGTAGACATTTCTTTTTTTTTTTAGCAGAATAATTGGCGTCTAGCAGCCTGGGTTTTTTTCTAGAGTCTTTAATAAAGAAAATGTGTCCAGTTTTTTTTATGTTCGTATCGTGGATTTTCTGTGATAATCGGTGAAGAAAAAATGACAAGAAGTGTCCTCGAATCTCCAGAACTTTCCTCGGTATTATTTCTGACCTCACTAGTGCTCTCTTTTGGCACCGAGTTGTACTTCTTCCAATCTCACTCTCTCCAATGGTGTTTGTGAGGTTCTAAGAATACTCTAGGGATTATGAGCACTATCATTACATTTCGTGAAGTCCTTGAAATAAAATTCGTTATCGTAAAAATATTTTTTTCAAACCGATCTTAGGTTTTTGTACAAAATACGAGTTAATCAGATTCGTAATTAGAGACTGACTTTAAATTCAACTAGTTTGCTGGTCGATAAGACGTGCTATCGGGTGTTGCCAATTCTCTAAGCCAGTGCAGTACCCATGTGCCAACCTTTTGAGAAAAATATTCTTTTGTCTCCAGAATTTCGCACTTCCATATAAACTGACAGCATCATTTCTCCAGTTGTCTCTCTCTGGACCAATTATACGTTGATTGACGATCCAAGATGTCCGAACTTCTTGCATGTCCGGCGTTTAGAGATTTCATTTCGGTTGGAATCTGATCAACGAAGTCGTTAAAATGTTTTTTTTAAAAAAAGAAGCTTTGATGTGATCAAATAACAAGAAAAACGCTCACACATATACACGCACACATACAAAATAAAAACGACATACACACTTTTCACATACATCTCCATACACATACAGATTTTATACATAGACTGTACATGCGCATATTCAAAGTACACACATATAATCTACACATTCAGCATACATATACTCACTAGATGCGCACATATATATATACATGCTTATACACATTTCACACATACATTCTCTCTCTCCCTCTTACTCACACGCGCGCACACACACACTATGCACATTTACAAGGTTAACTACATAAAACTATTATTCGGCTTTATTTGATTAAGAATTTAAGATTGTGTAGCGGCATGTTAATTTCCCTCTCCAAGTTCTCCACTCCTTTAACCGGGTATTGAACTCACACTTTTTGGGTCCTGTCACTGGATCTAACAAACCCCTTTATCCCCTGTGCCATGAGAACTTTCAGAGGGAAAATTAACAGGAGATAAATGATAACTGACATCCATTAAACATGGCACGTGGAACTAGAACAGTCTACCCCAGTGAGCGAAATAAAGGGTTCAGTTCAACATTCCAAACACCTAAAGAAGGCCGGAGCGTACAACGGCCGAAACGTTGTAATAAATATGACGACAAAGATGAGGAAAATAGTCCGAATAATGTAAATAATGTACATAATACCTCATCTCAGAAATATAGACAGATACTGAAGATTTTCAGACTTTAGGAAACTGGCCAGAACAACGTCTGATTTCAATATAATTGAACCGTTGTGATGGGAAATGAAGAAACAAGTGCCCCCACAAAAAAAAAAAAAAAACACTACGCAGTCTCCAAGATATTTTGGATTATTACCAAGAAGAATCGGAAGAATTCCCAATGGCCACATCAAATTGAGACAATTACTCGAGCCAAAGGGGGCATCAATAATTACGAACTCTTTGACAATTTTTACTTTCTGTAATAATAGAAATAACTTTCTTTTTGCAAAAAGAACATCCTTTTTTATTTAAGAAATGAGCTGAAAGCTGAAATCTTCGATGGTGAACCAATATTTTTGCACTGTCCTTTTTTGAGTATCACTATGAGTAAGATACTCTATCATCTATCATATAGCATTAACTACAATGCAGTAAATGGTTTTCTGCCCCTCAAAGATTATAAAAACTTAGAAAAGCATACTGCTAATCACTTTCGATTTGTATATAAAGATTAACAAAAGTAAATTTACCAGGTTTTCAGTGGAATACAAGTGCACTGAATACAATGTTTAATTTCAAGTTAGTTTTATGTTCGTATATTTTTTCTTTAAATTTAGGGATTGTAACCTCACAAAAGAAGGTAACCTTGATATATTTAAGAAGGATATTAAAATAATCCAGAACCTATCTTGGCAGAAAATCGCCTACATGCGGATAGAACATGAGTTCAGTCAATATACAAAAATAAAAGGGATGTGTGAGACAATGATATGTCTTTCCACTGGACTTATTCAACTTACACAGTCAAACGATTCTGAGAGTGCTTATTTTCGGCCACCATCTTAACAACATAAGATATGCAAATGACACAGTGTTAATAGCAGACACAGAAAGGAAACTACAAAAACTCCTACAGAAGGTAGCGAAGGAAAGCGAGAAGAAAGGACTAAATATCAATTTTAAGTAGACTGGTTGTTAGTAAAAGGAAAAACTCATGCAAATTACTCATCGGGAATATTAAGATCAAAAAAGTACAAAAATTTAAATATCTTGGAAGTGTTTTAACAAAGGACGCAAAGTGCGACACTGAAATCCGAAGGCGCATATATATATGGCGGTGAATGCTGGACAATCTCTTTACAGAAGA